TTAGAAATGGGTTAATCAAGATGTGAGTTAGCCAATAAGAGGCTGAAGCTAATGGGCCAAGCAGTATTTAAATGAATACAGTTTCCGTGTAATTATTTCGGGTAAAGCTAGCCAGGTGGCGGGAAGCGGCCCGCTGCTCCTATTACTACATTCACCTATAAAGCTGCTGTGGGGATTAAACATATCTGTAGTGTGGTCAGAATTAGTTACCAATGTATTAGCTATTATCCAACCATATAACAATCACAAACAATTAAACTAGCCATATCAGGTAAATACAGGATATGATCTGAGAATAAAACACTCTTTTATGCTCTTCAATGATGTGGTATATGAATTCTTGGGTTTGGACAACTCTGCTCACAAGATATGGCAAATAATAGTTTATGACTAAAATGATTTGCCCCACTTAAAGAATGTATATCTAAGTGAAAAGAACCATCTCAAAACTTCATACAACTTTATTCCTGCTGTGCTGCTTCCTACAACAAACGTTCTTAGGAAGGCTGCCTTAAGTGGCCACTGGTCAGACCACGTGCCAAACCATTTCACTGCTCTCTGATCATGTTACAGCGGCACGAGGCAGGTGAGCAGATTCTGGTTCATGAGGATAATGGCCAACACATTCCAATCATCACTTTTCTAGTCTTTTTTTTTTTTTGTAGCCCTGACTATCCTCAACACACTCTGTAGACCAGGTTGGCCTCAGACTCACAGAGACCCACTTGCTTCTGCCACCCAAGTGCTGGGATTAAAAATGTATGCGCCACCACTGCCCAGACCAACCCATCACTTTTAGAAAGCTTGTATCTATAATAGTCTTACGTGTGACTACTGTGTTTCTTAGAAAAGGGGAAAAAAATAACACAATTATTTGAGATTTTCAGGATTTTTAGGTTGTGGCTTGAAGAAAGAACTTCCTGTTAAAATTGTGGGAGAGGAATTGACTGTACCAGCATCTTTCACATTCCTTCTTTCTCACAGTCCTGCTTCTCTTTGTAGGCAGAGCTAAGCTCACTAAAATCCCAGCTAGCTAGCTCCTAACTGACTTTCGGAACTGTTGAAAATGAACGCTGCTGCAAAAGGCAACAGCCAAGGTAGGACTACTCAAGGAGAACAGTTTTATCCATAGGCTGGGAAACCTACAAACTAAAAAACAAGAACGATAAAAGGATGATGGCTTTTGTTTAAAAAAAATTTTTTTTTTGTTCTCTTTCAGTTCAAGGCCAGCCTGATCTACAGAGTGGATTCCAGGACACTCAGGCTGGCTACACAGAGAAACTCTGTCTACGAAGAAAAAAAAAGGTGGGGGGGGGAGGGAGTTAAGTAAAATTACATAAATAAACAAACTGCATGTAGCAGCACATGCCTTAAGAGAAAAAGGCAGGAGGATCTCTAAGTTCCAGGACAGCTAGGGCTGTTATACAGAGAAACCTGTCTCAAAAAACTAAAATAGAAAAAATCACTTGTGTACCATATTTAACTATCACCCTGGGGACCTTCTAATATTTTCTTTCTGAACTAAAATTTTACTGGTAGATTTCTACCTTGTCATTCCTAATGCATCCAGTTCTAGTTAATCTAGTCCCAGTTAATCTAAACTTACAAGACAATGTTAAGAAATACAGCTTATACAGACGTGTAACTCAGAGCAAATGTGCTTACTGTTCACAGACATCTGTCCCATAAGCCACAGGAAACTCTCCCCCACCAATACTACCTTTGACTACATCACTCTTTGGGTCAAAATACTCTTCCTCAGGGAAACAAGAGTCCATCTGCTTCCCAATTATCCTTTGATCCTCAACTCTCTGTACCTTATAAAGCTAAAGCTGAGGAGCCCCAAATACTGAGTATTAGCTCTACAGTTAGAACCCATACTTTTAGTGTAGTTTAGAGGGAGTAAAATTTCCCTTCTTGCCCAACCAGCAAGCTAATTTCTTGGGTGGGAAGAGATATTTAGAGCAAAGACTTCCAGCAAGACATAATTAACTGGAAAGACTACTACTACACAAGAGCTGTGTTAACAGTGACTGAAAATACTACTCAGTAAACACTAAAAAGTAAAGAATGAAAGGAAAGAAGCATTACAGGATAAACATCTGAAGAAATTAGTAGAGATCACTGGCTTTCCTGGGCAGAAGTCTTGACATGGTAATGAAAGGCTGTTCGCTACTAGACATAGATACATGCATAGATACACGGAGATAAAAGTACAAGCAAAGGTTTCTGGAAACCAAATCTAATGAAAAGTCAAAAAGTAATGAGGCTGTTGTACCCACCAAACATCAATAATTCCTTCTGTTCCACCTGTCTATCTTAACAGAGTCAATCATTTCTCACTCATACTTGTAGTCTGGGCAGTTTTAAAACAATTTACTCACCATCTTTTCTTTTCGTATTTCTCTTGCAGAAACTCTTTCACTTTTTGTGGATCCCTGAAGTCGGGAATTGCTGAAGATCTATCATCAAATAATCCTAGCCAAATCTGTTTACAGACCTTAGGAAAGAAGGGAAAAACGTGTGACATTCAATCTCTTCATTTAATAAAATTTAAAGGGAAAATTCTGCTTCTTTTGGAAAGCGTCTAACAATGCTGCTTTCCATGAGGATATTCCTGGCAATCTTAACTCACTTGCATATGCTGCAGAACAACAGCCTATGAAGAGAACTTCCTAAGAAAACAAGCAGCAAATTAGACCTGAGAGCACTGGGGCTCTTCTGGTCTCGGCATGATCACTAGCTGTGAACCATAGCAGTCAAATAATCTATGGGAACCTTGGTTCCTTTACCCATAAAACAGTAACTTCATCAACAGCAATTTTAGGAGTGTTTTAGCAAGCTAAAAACCAACCCCCCAAAAAATACAATTACCAAAATCCTGAACAGTCTGCTAATAAAGTATAACAATAATATAAATACAAGCAGAAAAATTTCAGACTTATAACATGCTTTTTTTTTTTACCCAGACAACAGTCTGAGACATTTAACTCTTTTGAATAGAAATAAAGTGAGTCATTACTCAAATTAGACACAAAAAAGAAAGAACTATAAAAGAGAAAAATCATAAGGTTGGGTTTCAAAAAAATGTAAAACTGTTTTTGAAAAAACTTAAAAAGGAAAAAAATGGACAAGAACCAAGTAATACAATGTTAAAGAACTACGAAAGCCCTCAAATCCAGAATGTAAGAAACTCTAAGAATACAACTGCTAAGAATAAAACCTGAGCCTGGAGAGATGGCTCAGAAGTTAAGAGTACTGGCTGCTCTTCCGAGGTATCTGAGTTCAAATTCTAGCAACCACATTGTGGCTCACAACCATCTGTACTGAGATCTTCTGGCCTGCAGGGATACATGCAAACAAAACACTACACACAAAAAAGGTAAACAAACAAAACCATAGGGTGGGGTAATGGTGGCGCACGCCTTTAATCCCAGCACTTGTTGAGGCAGAGGCAGGTGGATCTCCGCAAGTTTGAAGCCTTCCAGACCAACAGAGTTCTGGGACAGTCAAGGCTACACAGAAACACCCTGTTTGGTGAAAAAAATAAAACAAAACAAACAAAACTAAAAATTAAAAAAATATATAAACAACACACACAACGTGGGTGCTCTAAACAATCACTTCACCAAAGATGTTCACACTGCAGGTAAGTAGTGTAACACCATATGCCACTGAGAACCAATGGCAGAAACACTCACAGGATACAGACACATAATACACTATGGAAGTTGCTGACTATACTTGTGATGCTAAGCAACTGAAACTCTCCCAAATGTAAAACGATGCAACACTTATAGAAGGCAGTTGAGCTACCCTGCAATCAAGTCATTTTTGGAGGTATCTGCCCCCGAAATACAAAAGCACACTCCCAGCTCTTCACAGCAGCTTCACTGAAAAGTCCAAATTGGAAAGAATAAGTCTTGTATAAGAGGTGAAGGATAAACAACCTGCAAATATCGCTGGGGGAAGGGGTGTGTGTGCACATCTTTAATCTCAGCCTAGGGAGGCAGAAGCAGGTAAATCTCTGCGTTCAAGGCCAGCCTGGTCTACAGAGTGAGTTGGGGTTGGACAGGGCTACAATGGGAAACCCTATCTCAAAAAACAAAATAGCAATAGCCTAAGCAGAATATTAGACAGCAAATAAAAGGAACAATGTGATGATAAAGAAACTTCAAGATAACTATGCTGGTGGAGAAATCACCAAAGATAAAGGAGAGCAGCACAGCCCGCCAGTAAAAATGCCTGGGGCCAGCCTAATCAACCCATAAAACCACTGTCATAGACAAGAAAACTCTTGAAAGTTGTCCTCTGACCTCCCCAGTCTCGGCAGGCAGGTGGCGTATATATATACTAATTTTCTAAAATGGCCTCTATGTGGTACTCTTTCTACCAATAAGGAAACAAGTATTTGTCAAATTTAGTCAGAAAACGTGTCACTAAGCTTTCCCAACACATCAAAAAACTCCCCACTTTGCCTCCTGGTGAACTACCCTCACATTCTGGTCCCTGAGAAGTTCAGTCTTTTCCCCATTACTACATTGAAACTGCTCTCGATAAGCCTTGGCTGATCGCTGATAGCAGTCTCTTATTCTGTTAACTAAACTGAAAAAAAGTGCTGTGTGCTGGTGACTGCAGGAGGGAGAGCAGCCTGAATGCACTTGTTTAAGAACACAAGAAGCACAGTGTTGATTCTGGCTAAATAAAAAGACCACAGACTCTAAGCTAGGCCAAGAAAAAGAGGAAGACAAAGTGTTTAGTAGAATGAAGGTTCTAGTAATTACTGTAGTTAAGCTTCATAGGAAAAGACTGCGAATAAAGGATCAGTGGGGGTCACACAGCAAAATCCTTAAATTCCAAATCTGGGAGGTGAGAGTTATGGATGGAAATGTAACATGGGATGCAGGACCACTGGAGACAAGGTGGAGGACTCCAGGGTTGTGGAAATGACCCATGTGGACACTGGTGGGAGTTCAGAGACAGCAAGAAAAGCGTTAAGGAGTTAACGTCTAAAAGAACAAGTATTGTGACAAGAAGACACACGAAGCAGTAACATCTGTTAACATGAGGAACATGAGGTGTGGGCTAGAGGTAGTACTGAAGAATAATAACAGTCCCTAGAAGCTATCATTTGTAAGGACTCAACACATAATGAGATCAGTTCTGATAACCTTTGTAGAAAGGAAGTGGATAATCATACTAATTAACTTGGCTATGGTGGTTGACAGTCTGAACTAGCTCAGCCAACTCTTGTTAGCTGTCTGATATGTCTTCTTATGTAAAATGTAAATAATACTGGGACTTCCTTGCTATGGATACTGGGCATGTTCCATAAGTTAACACACCTGACAATTATGTACTAAGAGTGTTAGTGTTGTGCTATTTTTGAGAAATCTTCAGTGGTGGGTGATTAGATAAGCATCAGCTAATAAGGGAAAGTCTTATCAGGAATTCAAGAAATTAGGTCCACCTTTAGTCCTGCTGCTGTAGACAGAATCTAAGTGGTCTTCAATATTCAAGCTCCGCTGAAGGCAAACTGCTTTGTACTTTTACAGAAAAAGCTCACGACACACTATCACATGTTAGATTTGCTCTTAAGTATGTGCCTCATGAAACACTTCTTAACCTTTATAATGCTTATAAGTTGAGCCATAAGTTTTCAATAAACAAAATGACTTAAAAACACTCTTAGGTAAGAATCAAAAATAAAATCTAGAAAAAATGAACTGATAATCGCCAACAAAGAAGTTTTTAAAGCTTTGAGTTATTTTTCTTCCCTCTAGTGCACACTCATTTTAGAATTGCCACCATGACCACCAATAACAGAGTGTAAAGTATACTTCATCAGTCAGTTTGTTGGTAAATGGACACTCAATGTGGACTGGAAGTTAATCAAGACGCTACTGCAAAGCACAGACTGGCTGTAAGAAAACTTCAAGTTAAAGCAGTGGCTCTCAACCTTCCTAATACTATGACCCTTTAATACAGCTCTTCATGTTGTGATGACCCCCAACCATAAAACCAAAAAAAACAACACTGCTACTTCATAATTGCAATTTTGCTGCTGTTATGAACTGCAATATAGGTATCTGTGTTTTCTGATGGTGTTAGGTGATCTCTGAAAAGGTGATTCGCCCCCCCCCCCCCCCGTCACGACTCAGAGGTTTAAAACCACTGAGCTAAAACATAACATTCCAGCACTCCACCAGTCACTTCAATAAAACACAAGATAAAGCCTCAAAAACCAGACCACCTTATGGTAGCTGTGAGCTTTAAAGGATTCAACCATGCTGCAGAAATCCAATCATCCCAACAGCAGAACCCAGTCAGAGACCAGAAACAAAGGCTTCCTTCTTTGTATATGTCCAGGCAGGCTTGCCACCGAAACTAAAGAGCTCCAAGAACAGGGGTGACAGTTGTTGATACAGAAAACAAACAAACAAACAAACAAATAAAACATGACAACAAACATACAGGCCCATGTCATAAATGCCCAAACACTTGTAAAAAGGGGGAAGGTAGGCAAGAGCTACAACAGCTACAAGCTTTAGATGGAGGTCCACTAAGGACAGGATCACTCATTACTGCTTTTAATCCTCTCAAGGAAAGTAAAATGTACAGAAATGCCAACATACATATCCCCCTTTATCAAAACAAATATTTATTGTTAATGAAAGGAATAAACAATGTGGTATGATTCTGTTCACTTCTAGATGAGAAAAGAGCAGGAGGAGTTGGGAACATCTTTTTTTCAATAAGCCATCTCTATAAATAACATTCTCAAAATGTCTTTTGTCTTCAGTCTTCTAGAGATGGAGTACTGTCTCCTTCCAATGGTAATACATAGTAAAATATTTAATAATATTGCCCATATCTATCAACATCAAAAAAATATTGCCTATAAACACAAAAAAGTTAAATAATTTTAAGTAAACGCTAAAAATTTCATAAGTACCTGATTCCAACTTTTTAGAAACAGAAAAAAAACCTAAAGAGTAGAAAGTATTAGTTACAGAGGAAATGCTAGTAGAAACTCTTTAAATAGTTACTATGAACCTATACAAAAGTCTACTGCAAACTTCTATCTACTTACTTTCAGGGTGATGTTCATAGCCTAGGCTGATTTCAAACCTGCAATCCTCCTGTTTCAGTCTGGCATATAGCACTACAGATGTTAACTACCACACCCAGTTCTCTTACCAACCCTCATCCCCATGGTTAGGAAATCAAACTCAGGGTCCTGTGCACAGGGACAGACCCTCTCTCTACCTCTCAGATACAGTCCAGTCTATCACCAACTTATTACTTTGCCCATCCCTTTCCTAAGAAAAACCTAAGGTAAACTGATGTGGTAACATGCACCTTTAATTCCAGCACTTGGAAGGCAAAGACAAGTGAATCCTCTATGTTTGAAGTCAGCCTAGCATAGCAAACATATTAAGTTCCAGGGCAGGTAGGACTAAATAGTGAAACCCTGTTTCAAATACAAAACAAATGAAA